GAGGGAAAGAGAATATCTAATTTGGGACAACAAGGAAGAGGTTTGGGGGATAAAAGAAGGGGAAGATGGGCCCTGCCCACCAGGAACTTAGACTCTAGTTTAAGAAACAACTGTAGATAAGAAATAGTAGCCATGAAAGGCAACCTGTGTTGGGTATCCAATGTATGGCTCTAGCAAGAAACACCCCATGAATTAACAGACTGGAGAGACCACTGCAGGCAGAGGGCAGCCAAAGATCGTTCAGAAAAGGCTGCTTTTAAGTAGGTGCTTAGAGATCTGGTATGATTGAAATAGGCAGAGAAGAGAGGGGAGGGCATGCTAGGAGGGAGAAATGAAATTACAGATACAGAGGCAGGGGTGTGCAGGTTGTTTAATTTAGGGCAGTGTGTCTGGAATGGAGATTTCAAACGACCTCTCTAGGCTGCTCACTGTCACATCAGCGTGGCCCGAAGTACAAGAACCTGTTCACCATTTCAGTTGAAGTCATGGGTCAACCCCAGGCACCAAAATTTTAGGCAAATGCACCGTCTCAGTTACTGTTGTGTCACCAACCACCACCAACCTTCGGGGGCGCAGAACAGCCAGCATTAATTTTTGCTCACAAGCCATTGCATCTGTTAGCAAGAGCTTGATGGTCTAGGATGCCCTTGGCTTGGACCCTCCCATCCCCCGTATCCCTCTAAGAGGGTAGCCTGGACACGCTTTCATGGTGTCAGGGGTCCCAAAGAATGAGAAGAAATACATTGGTACTTTTTAAAGCTTCTACTTGCATCAGGACTGCCAACATCTCACAGACCAAAGCGAGTCACATGGCCGCATCCAAAGGCAAGAGATGGGTTAACAAACTCGCTCTCTTTCGTGAAGGGAACTGCAGGAGGAGCGATACAGAACGGGAGCCATCGATGCAGTCAATCTGCCAAGCGCACGGAGAAGAGAATTATTTTTGAAATCAGCATTGACCACAGAGATAACCGTTGCCAATAATACAGAGCGCCCTTTATTCCCGAAATACATACAACCAAGTAAAAGCTATGCAACTTCTCATTCCTGGCTGTTGCCTGCCCCCACCCCCTTTTTTGTTTCCATTTTAGTGGCTCCATTTCTGCCAGAATTTAACATTCACAGGGTGATGTCATTTCCTTTCTGGAGGGAAAAAGAAGCTTTCTGTTGTCAAGAAAAAAAGGAGAAAGAAAAAAATAGAGCCAGAGAGAGAGACAGAGTTATTCTACTACCTTGGGAATTGGTGCGTTGCAATTGTATCATATGAAAGGAATGCAAAATGTAGTTCTTGCTTGAGATGGGGGCGGGGGGGCCTTGGGGGGTGGGCAGTTCTGGACAAAGCAACCCAGGAATGTATTAAAGGAAAAAAAAAATCCTATTCCAGGTCCTGGAAGATTAATGAAAAGAGATATATTTATTTTTAGATGTGATACACTCAAATATTAATTCCACAGAATCATAAAAATGACACCTTCTGTGCCCTCCCCTACCCTAAAAACTCAGGCCCAAGAAATAGTTAAACAGGGACCCTTGGCACGTAGTTTTATAGACTAACTCACACCACTATGTGATAACTATTGCTTCGATTGGCTGCCTCCCACACACTCCCTACTGGGGCATGTGCCCTGACCAGGAACTGAACTGGCGACCTCTTGGTTCCTGGGTCGGCGCTCAATCGCTGACCCACTGGCCGGGCTCTTGTCTTATCTGTAGAGAAACTCTGGGATGCTGTCCTAGGGTTCAGAGCTCAGAAGGTGCTCGAGTTGCAACCCGAATTCAGCTGCAATCCCTCCCGCAGAAGAGATAGAAGGACAGCAGAGGCCAACATCACGTTCCTCACACAACTTCAATTTAAATTAAACTTCCTTTAATGAAATAAAAAAAACAAATGGTGCATTGCATAATAGTTGTGGTCACAGTATAAAACAATACAATCAGTTCATATAACATTGGAAATGGACAAAAATACACAAGATCCTTCGTTGGTCTACGTGAAATCTGGCAGATCCCATGTGCCACACTACAAAAGAAAGTCAACTTTTTTCTCCTAGTGATTTGCACCCAGTATTTATCACTGAGAATTTGGTCAAACAGTGGAAGAGAACTTACCCAAATCCCAGTTCCCTTCTTCCTCTGTGGTTATTGGTGAAGCTAAAAAGAAAGTTTTCTGAAAGTAGCAAGTTGTGTAGTATTGCTTATTATTCCTGCCTCAAAGGCCCAGTCTTTGGCTCACAGGTGCCCGTGACAAAATCGTGGCTGCAGGCGGTCTGCAAAGCAAGCGAGAGCCACCAGGGAAGCAGACAAGAGTCTGGGTAGAAGGGGCCTCCACCAGCATCCCGGGGAAAGCCGCGTGGATAGGAGGGGAGAAAAGACACAAATAAATATGTTTCTCAATGAAGACTGAAATCCAGTTGGTGAGTCAGAGTTCCAACCGTCCCACGAAAAATCGGAAAAGTTGTCAAAAAGTCAGAGTTTGCATTTTTTTTTCTTTAAAAAAAGTGTAAAGTGTATGTAAACATTACAAAGTAAACACTTTGGTGTTGTTTCCTGATCCGCAGAGAGGAACAACAGTGACTTCTCTTTCCCGTTAGGAGACCTATCAGGTCATGAGAATTCACCCAGCAACCAAAAAGACCTTGCACCAGGCCTGGCCTTCACCTTGCCTCTCAGTGGGAATTTCAATATTGATCCTATGAAATCCATTTCTTCTTTTATCTTTATTTATTTTTAAAAATGTTTTTATAGATGTTTTTAGAGAGAGGAAGGGAGAGGGATAGAGAGATAGAAACACCAATGAGAGAGGAACACCATCGATTGGCTGCCTCCCACACACTCCCTACTGGGGATCGAGCCCTCAACCTGGGCATGTGACCTGACCAGGAACTGAACTGGTGACCTCTTGGTTCCTGGGTCGGCGCTCAACCGCTGACCCACACCGGCGGGGCTCTTCTCATATCTGTAGAGAAATTCTGGGATGCTGTGTTATGGTTCAGAGCTCAGAAGGTGCTCGAGTTTCGACCAGAATTCAGCTGCAATCCCTCCCGCAGAAGAGACAGAAGGACAGCAGAGGCCAACATCACGTTCCTCACACAACTTCAATTTAAATTAAACTTCCTTTAATGAAATAAAAAAAACAAATGGTGCATTGCATAATAGTTGTGGTCACAGTATAAAACAATACAATCAGTTCATATAACATTGGAAATGGACAAAAATACACAAGATCCTTCGTTGGTCTACGTGAAATCTGGCAGATCCCATGTGCCACACTACAAAAGAAAGTCAACTTTTTTCTCCTAGTGATTTGCACCCAGTATTTATCACTGAGAATTTGGTCAAACAGTGGAAGAGAACTTACCCAAATCCCAGTTCCCTTCTTCCTCTGTGGTTATTGGTGAAGCTAAAAAGAAAGTTTTCTGAAAGTAGCAAGTTGTGTAGTATTGCTTATTATTCCTGCCTCAAAGGCCCAGTCTTTGGCTCACAGGTGCCCGTGACAAAATCGTGGCTGCAGGCGGTCTGCAAAGCAAGCGAGAGCCACCAGGGAAGCAGACAAGAGTCTGGGTAGAAGGGGCCTCCACCAGCATCCCGGGGAAAGCCGCGTGGATAGGAGGGGAGAAAAGACACAAATAAATATGTTTCTCAATGAAGACTGAAATCCAGTTGGTGAGTCAGAGTTCCAACCGTCCCACGAAAAATCGGAAAAGTTGTCAAAAAGTCAGAGTTTGCATTTTTTTTTCTTTAAAAAAAGTGTAAAGTGTATGTAAACATTACAAAGTAAACAATTGAACGTAATTTTGAGGCTCCTATCCGAACATAGCTTAGGCGCTTTCCGGGGAGACTTTCATGATTAGGGGGGAAAAACCCAAACATTTTATCAAGTTTTGTTGTTGTTGTTGTTCAGAAGTGCAACGTCGTCCGCGGGCATCGTGGCCGGGTCCTTCCTCCGCACGCCCAGTGCTTCTGGCAGGAACCCCCGCCAGGGAGCACGTAAGAATGTCTCTCACACAGGCTCCTGGCAGGCGCATGTCCCTGGGAGCAACGAGGTCCTTGTTACAATACCCTGGGATTTTCCCCTTCGGACCCGCCCCCTGGACAGAGGGTGGGGTTGGGATCAAAGCCTTGAACTACAACAGCAGTTTGAAAGGACAAGGGATAGTGTGAGCACAGGTCACCTTTCCTACTACCGAGTGTCTGGTGTGACCCTTTCGCGGGTCACACACATCTGGGGCCACCTGGTCATGCCCCAGGCTAATACCCTTTCCTCTACCAACAAGGGCTTCCGCTACAACAATCCTGAATCTTCTAGTGAGTGTGAGTGCGGTCAGGCTCCCGGGCACTGGCTGCTCCCAACGCAATACCTGTTTATGCGTTCTCTCTTTAACCTCCATGTGTACGCTCACCCATGACCCACCTCCTCTGAAATAGCAGTTAGGAAGCGACACGTAGAAAATACCCCACTCTTGCCCAGTCAGTGTGGCTCAGTGGTTGAGTGTTGACCTATGAACCAAGAGGTCACGGTTCAATTCCCTATCAGGGCACATGCCCGGGTTGTGGGCTCGATCCCCAGTGGCAGGGCATGCAGGAGGCATCTGATCAATGATTCTCTCTCATCATTGATGTTTCTCTCTCTCTATCCCTCTTCCTTCCTCTCCGAAATCAATAAAAATAGACTTAAAAAATTTTTAAGAAAATACCCAACTCTAGTGCTATGGAGGCCTCTTCCTCTTCCTCCAGTCACTCATGCTCTGCATCCCGTCTTCCCTGGTTCCATCTGTGCCTAGAAGTCATCTGTGCTGCCACCATCAGTGCAGGAGCCCGTGCCTACCCCACGAGTGGTCCCGCAGTGGGCGAACAGACAGGGGGAGCCTGCCTCCTGGGGCTTCCGCGGTGATGCGTGCAGAAGGGGTGGTGGGCAGCAGAGTGAGGGAAGTGGAGGGAAGACTGTGAGCCGGGAGGGGTCGGGCTCGTCCGGCCCATTGTGACAAAGAGCCGTACATGAATGGCCATCGTTTCGTATTACTTTATTGCTCAGAACCAACGTGTCTTTTTTTCCCCTTCGGAAGACAGGGGAGTGTCAGATCCTTCGGAGCCACGCAGCAGCACGGAGGAGTGCAATGCAGGGTGGGCGTCACCGCCGAGCCTCAGGGCCCCACGGGGAAGCCTCCGAAAGGCCGGCCCTGTGCCAGGGCGGAAGGTCTCTTTTGGTCCGTTGTCCTATTCCTGGTACGAGCAGTCGGGCCATAGAGACTGCTCTCAGATCTCCTTTGTAGGTAGGCTGTTCCCAGGGCAATGCGTTGCTGGGTTTCCTTCATGTTCCTAACAGGAAAGCAAGCATCCCAGAGGCCAGCTCTCTCACCAGCCCTCGCAGGGGATCTCACAGACCTGCCAGGGCGGACAAGGCCAGAGAAAACACTCGGTTCTTCCCGGCGATTTCTGATCCCGTGAAGTCAGCCAGTCTCCAAGCAGCAAGAGTCCTTCACGTTAAGGAGACCAAGCAGCCTCGGAAGGAGGGGAGGGGGGTACCTGTGGGTCCCCCTGGCCGTCCCTGGGTGTCCAAGGCCTTTGCCTCCTGCAAAGGACAGGACTGGGGACTGGAGGTGGCTTCTTCCGCCTGACACACCCCTGACCCTCCCGGCACGAGCTGCAGAAACCTAACTCTCAGGATCCGCCTTCCGCTCTCTCCCTGGGGCCCCCCCGCGAGGCCCAGTGGCCTCCGCTCGATTGCAGCGTCTGTTCCTTCCCTTGTCCACAGCCTCCTCTTCCTTGCAGACCTTCTCCCTGCCCTGGTCCGAGTGGCTGTGTATTTTTCTTCATGTTCATTCTTAAGGCTAAGGTGGCATGATAAGGTGCTTGGTGGAGAGCCAAATCCTAAATTCCAGGGCTGCCATTCTCAGCGCGCTCACAGAAAGCAAAGAGCAAAGAAATGGAAAGGGGGCAGAGAGGCAAAAAACCAAAATCTGCGTCTGGGCTCGATGCGAAGCTACATACCGCAAGTTCAGATTCCCAATGTGGTCTAAGCCCCTGAAAACAGGGGCCGGGCAGGGGGGGTCAAGGCCACACATTCGCCCTGGGCACAGGTCTGTGTTGTCCCTGGGCCGGCGTGGAGGGCCACCCTCCTCCTAACACCTGCCTCCCACCCCGGAGCCGGCCGGCTCTCACCCAGGACAAAGAACTCCGAACGCCCTCACCCCGCCCTCACCGCAACCCTTCGGGACAAAAGCTATAAACACACACAAGCCAGAGATCAATAAACCAGTAGGAGAAAAAAATTAGACAGAGGTTAACCATGAAAAAGCCGCCGTCGGGAAAAGACACGCGCGACCGTCCTCAGAAAGTGCCGTGGGAAGAGAAGCTGTGTGCTGGTAAACGTGTCCGCGCTCCAACTCCACGTGCAGAGGAGAGCGCGCCGAGTCCCACCTGAGATGAGCGAGGACTGGGTTTTAGTGTGACACACTTCACGTCAGAACATCACCGTCCTCTTCCTGCCCCAATCGCTCCGAGACCGTCCGTCCCCGTGTCGCTGCCCCGGCCGGGCGCCGACCTTGTTAGTCCATCTCCATGGACATGAGCCGGCGGCGCTCGCGCCGGGTCTCCTGCACCTCCTTCTTGCAGCACCAGTGGGAGCTGCAGTACCCGATGAGGCAGGACAGGAGCCCCACGACGGTGGACAGGCCGACGCCGATCAGCAGCGGGTACTTGAAGGCGTTCAGCACTGGCAGGGGCAAAGCAGAGGGAAGCCGGTTAGTGGTGCCAGGGCGGTGGCCGCAGGGCCCACCACCACCTCCTGTCCCCATTGGAGCCAGCAGATCCCCTTTGACCTTGTCTCCAGCCCCGGGCACAGCACTGCTGGCAGGAGCAGCTCAGCCCTATCTGTCCAAAAAGTGGGCAAATGTCTCCCCACCCAATGCTGCGGGGGAAAGAAAACAGCAAAATGATTGCGTTCGATGCCTTTGAATGTCAATTTGCTTTTTAGGGTTTGGCAGGAGATGGATTTTTAAAAGTCAGTATAAGGGCACTGCACCCTCCGCAGCAGATGCCTCCGTAAAAAAACAGTACGTAAACCAATTCTATGCGTCAAAAGACTGAAGTGCACTCGGGGAGCTATTTTAAGTAACACGGTAGTAAATTATCCAGCAAAGTCAAGAGTCACTCCCGCACTTGTTTGGTAAGTCTGGGCTTCCATTTTTTTTTTCTTTGCCACTTCAAGGAAAGAATTTCTAAGATGCAAATACGGTGCAAGTGTTAGGAATGCACACTGTTTAGGTGTCCCACTTGCCCCCCACCAAATCCCACGTCCCCTCCCCTGGAAGTACCAGCACGCCTTGGCGGACGCCCGCAATGTGGGAGGTGCCTGACATTTCGTAGGGCTGCACTTTCACAATCGCCCCAGGAAAGGGGGCCATCCCATTTTACAAGAGAGGGAATAAAGATCGGAAGGGCTACACCATCTGTGGAAGAGTTGGGGGTCCAATTCCAGTCTCCCCCGAACTGACACTATCACCAGGGAAACAGACTCGAGTCTCCGAATGCTCAGAGGCCCCTGGACTGGAACTCTCTCCAAGGAGTTTTTTCAATCGATGTTCACCCTGAAACGTTCTGCAGAGACAGCTCTCGTTAGCTGAGGAATCACTGTCTCTGACTCTGGGGTGCTCAGGGAACAGGGTGGGAAGGGGGCCCTCTGCCCACCTCGTTCAGCTGACCCTGGTGGTCAGTGTGGGCCAAAGAGGCCGGGAGCTCCCCCTCCCATCCTGGGGTCCCATGAAGAACCCCGCCATGCTAGTAACACCAGGAGGAGCCTCCCTTTCCCAAGAACCAACATCAAGGAGGGCAAGAGTAGCCGGAGCCCACTCCCAGCATCTCTACGGAGACCTGAATCGGCTCTCCTGACTCCGCTCTCTGCTGGGCACAGTGAGCTTGCATGGAATTCATAGGAAGCATTGAAAATCTTCCCAGTAAGTCTTAAAAATCATTTCTCAATGCTGCTCCCAGCATATGACACCGAAGCTGGGCAAACACCAAGGGCTGCCTGTTCTTTCTGGTACGGGCCCCGCCAGGCCTGGAGGACACCAGGCCGTGTTCTAGCACATTCCTCAAATGGGGGGAGCCCGGCTTCTGCCTGCCACGGTCCAGCAGAGAGCAGACAGGATCTGTGCGCCACCCTTACCGTCCATCTTCACAGTTATAAAGACGGGCTTGGAGGAGATCTCCGCCTCCTTCTGCCAGGAACCCGTCGGCGACTTCACCCAGGGAGCCACGGAGCAATAGTAGTTGCCGAAGTCCTGGTCCTCGGAGCCGTGCACCTGCAGCAGGAACTCCAGCACACCCACGCGCTCCAGGCTGAGGTCGCTCTTCCAGTCCCTGCGGGCCATGCTCACAATTCCCTTGCGGTCCAGCGAGGACAGGAGGATGGGATCCTTGTCCAGGCCGAAGGAGTGCACCACAAACCAGGACACGTCGAAGGCCATGTCATCTATGGATCACAAGCCAAAACCCTGGGGTCAGTGCCATGGGCGGAAATAGGCTGGCACGCAGGTCACCTGACAACGGGCTGGCACTGCTCTACCTGCTCCTCACGCCAACCCTGTGATGGAAGTGCTGTCACCCTCCACACCCTGTGGCGGGACCAAATCCCATGAGGTCACACAGCCAGGAGGCAGCAGCGCGTGTGTCCTCACTTAGGGAGTCCAACCCAGGGTCCCCCGCTTGACCTTGTCGCTGCCACCACCCAGCCCAAGGAGCACAGGAGGAAGAGTCAGACCCCAAACTGTCTCCTACAGAGAACACAGGGCATAGAGCTGGTACGTGGTGACATCACACGCCGTCTCCCAGAGAAAGCGGGGCAGAAGCACCCATGACTGGGAGGACACAAAAGTCATAAGGAACAAAAGGTCCATCCAGTGGATCATAAAGAATTTAGAGGCGTCAACAGTTTCAATGTCACGGTTCCCTGTGGATTCCCCCTTCCCCCTCCCTGCCTCCCAAGAAGTGCTTAAACTCAGAACCAGAGGGAAAAAGTCAAGCTGAGAAAATTGAACACACTTTAACAGTCCCAGAGAGCAACGCTGCCGAATTGTAAAGCGTGCTGCAAAATTAAGCCTCACATACATTAATATGGGCATCAGAGAAGGAAGAGTTCGGCCCAAGTGGTAATGCTCACAGGATGTGAAGAGAGCGTCCACCATGAGCCCTAGCGCATGGATACTTAATGTCCTCTTAGAAAGTGAGAAAGGGACACCAACTGTCATGGAGAGGGCCGCCAAGAAAGGGTGTAAGACGAACGGCCACTACTCTTTGGCATCCTGTTGGCAATGCTAGTATTTCCTTCAAAGAAAACATTTACAGCGATTTCTCTAAGGATTTAATCTACACTAGCTCCTCCTGGTCACCTGCTACGCATTTGCTCTTTTCTGCATTTCTTCCTAGCATCAATCACTATCTGATGGTATACGGTGATTTCCTCCTGGTCTGCCTCCTTAACAAGATTGCCAGGGCCTTGAGGGCAGACTTGGAATGTTTTGTTCACTCCTCTACTCCCCAGATCTCGAACAGCACCTGTACACAGAAGGAGCTCAATAAATATCGGAATGATTAGGAGGACGAAAGACAAAGGTGGGGCGCTTCACTCTGCCGGTGGGTTTCACACCAGCTTGAATCGGCCCTGTAAGTGGCCCACTAATGGCCTGAACAACCCAGACGAAATATCTGCACGGGGCCCAGCTGGTGTGGCTCAGTGGTTGAGCGTCGACCCAAGAACCAAGAGGTTGCTGGTTCGATTCCTAGTCAGGGCATATGCCCAAGGTGTGGGCTCGATTCCCTAGTAGGGGGTGTGCAGCAGGCAGCCGATCGATAATCTATGTTCTCTCTCATCTATGTTTCTCTCTACCCCTTTCCTCTCTCTCTAAAAAAAAAAATCAATAAAAACATACTTTTAAAAATATCATGTGTTTCCAATTCATCTGACAGATGCATCCATTCAACAAATTTTTATTAAACACCTACTGAGACCTGAGCTGAGCAGTGTGGGGATAAGCGGACAACCCAATCCTTGACGTCCACGTCTGTGCAACGTAGTGGGGATGATGCAAGAGATATTTACAAAGGCCACGTGGGGAAAGGGTGGGAGAAGTACCTGGGTCCAGGGCTGCTCCTTCGACAGTGACGATACAGAACAATTTGATCAGATCTCCCCGGATGACTGAGGGCGTGTCTGAATACACGGAGGCATTAAATATAGGACCTGGAAGAAAACGATGATCATCATGTCCTTTCACAGTGTTCAGTCCTTAAAGGGTCCAGTCCCCTTCTAAGAGAACGCGAGACGATACAACCTAAAGAGATCCTCACAACCCTAACCGGTTTGGCTCAGTGGATAGAGCGTCAGCCTGCGGACTCAAGGGTCCCAGGTTCGATTCTGGTCAAGGGCATATACCTTGGTTGCAGTCACATCCCCAGTAGGGGGTGTGCAGGAGGCAGCTGATCGGATGTTTCTCTCTCACCGATGTTTCTAACTCTCTATCCCTATCCCTTCCTCTCTGTAAAAATCAATAAAATATATTTAAAAGAAAAAAGAAAGAGATCCTCACAGAGGATTTAGGCTTTTATTTACTTTATTTGAACCAGCAAGGAAAGACTTACCTAATTTGGACAAATTTCCCTTTCTTTTCCTTCTACGACCAGAGAAAGCCCCAAATGCCTTTAAGGTCACCCGTCCCGACCCTCACCGCCCCTCGTGGCCGCGGCTGCGGGAACAGCAGAGCGTTTGTGCTCCGGCTCCCCAGGCCAGTGAGGACGGGAAGGCCTTCCTCGGGAATGACTCACCCAGCGGGTTTCCTGCTAATGAAACCAGCCACTCGCTGTTAATGTGGGTCATTATCCCAGGCTTAGAAATATTTTTATTACGGTCAATTTCTGTGGTGATGCTGTTTTTGTAAGGGGATTTGTCTGGTTAACTTCAAGATGACAGACTAGGCCAGTGAACAACCAGAGTCACTAGGTGTCCCCCGATTCCTCGTCTGCAGAGAGTACATGGACCACTTGGCTTTTAAAAATAAATGTTGACGCAAACCATCTTGCAACTCCAGCCCCTAAACGAAGGCTGTTAGCAGCAGTATTTTTGTGAAAGGCAGAATTGCAGACCAGCTGCATGACCACCAACAGGGTGACCGTTAACCAAATTCTAGGGGGTTGAGTCATTAAAGGTGGTGTTTACCTAGAACGTGTTATAACATGGGAAATGTTTATCTTGTAATGTTAAACAGGGGGAAAGCAGGTCATAAAACTGTATATACAGTCTGATCTCAACGCCATGAAGACAACATACCAGAGAAAATTCTAGGAAGACAAAGACTACAAATTAAGTTTATAGGTGAAGCTCTTTTCCTTCGTTCTACTTTACTGTGTTTTAAAACATTCTCTATTAGGGAGAAAACCATCATTTTCCCCAATAGGAAGTATTGGCTCAGTAGAGCCTCTTGGGAAACGCAGTCCTCATACCAGGAGGCAAGTGGCCTGAGACCAGGGGACAGAAAGGTGGACACCAGGAAGGACGTCTTTGCTGTGTGTGTCTGACAGTGTGCTGCTGATTGTAAGAAGTGGTTGGCCAGCATGACTTAGTGGTTGAGCATCGACCTATAAACCAGGAGGTCACGGTTCAATTCCTCGTCAGGGCACATGCCCAGGTTGTGGGCTCGATCCCCAGTGTGGGGCGTGCAGGGGGCAGCCAATTAGTGAGTCTCTCTCATCATTGATGTTTCTATCTCTGTCTCCCTCTCCCTTCTTCCCTGAAATCAATAAAGTGACGACTCTTCAGTATCAAGTCAATATTTGCTAAGCGCTATTCAGGCTACGGCATTGTGCTGGATACTGGCTTTGACTGCAGCTTCTCTTACACTGTGAACTGGCCACGACAACTCCAGGGATTAAAATAAAAACCTTAGGCAGTCTATTCATCCTGGAAGCTACAGTGATTTTTTCCTTTCCTGTTATGCTGAGACATAAAGAATTGAGAAATAAATTCAATACCCATTCCTTACCCAGAAATACAAAAGATTGTATGTCTCCCCTCTTCCTCATAACAGTTTTAAAGAAACATCAAATAAGAAATGTAAAACAAGCTGGAATAAAGTTCTATAGACAGTAAAAGACATACAAATAGTAAAAACACCATCATCTGAATCTTAATAGACACAGGAAAGCATTTGAAAACACCCAATACCTCTTCATGGTAAAAACACTCAACAAACTAGGAATGAAATGAAACTCCCTCAACTCAGTTAAGGGCACCTATGAAAAACCCACATTCCCATGACACTCCATGGTGAAAGCCTGGAGTGATCCCGCCCGCTGAGACCAGGAACAAGATGTCCATTGGAGCCACCACTACTCAACTCCGTCTTTGAGGTTCTAGCCAGGGCAATCAGGCAAGGAAATGAAACACAAGGTATTCAGTTTGGGAAGGAGGAAGTAAAACTGTCTTTATTTGCAGACAGCATGATGTCCTATTTTTAAAATCCCAAGGAATTGACCAAAAAACTAGAACTCATAAACAACAAAGAAGTATCCAGGCCAAACCGTGCAGAGCATGGAGGCCGAGAACCCTGCCACTGAGTGGTGGTTCTGGAGCCCTGGCTTGCACCACAATCACCAGGAGGGCGGTAAAGCTCAGGCTGTGGGTGCCCACCCTCGGGGAGTGTGGTTCAGTAGGTCTGGGTGGGCCCAGCATTTACATTTCCATCAAGTTCCCAGGGGAAGCTGTTGCTGGTCGCACCGTCCTAGGTTGAAAAAAGGTTGCATCCCTCCATGAGCAGAAGCAAGGTTCCAAGTATACACTCTAAATGGGTAAGCTGTATGGCACAGGAACCATATCTCAACAAGCTGTTAAAAAAATAAATAAAGCCCACGGGTCTCTTCTAGCTCAACCTCTGATTCCACAGGGCTCCCTGCTCACCTGAGGTTTGGAAGTCTATCTCAATAGGATTGGAGAGACTGGTTGCTGCTTCTCGCCACAGGCTGCCCCTGACAGGAGACCAGGCTGTCACCACGCAGCGGTACAGCCCCGCATCCGACACCTGAGTCTGGTACATCCGATAGCGGAACTCGTCTTCCTGCACTTTCTCCAGCACGACGCCGTCCACCCGGGAGGCATCTGTCCAGTTCTCCAGCCTCACCACGGCGTCCTGGTCCAGGGAGATGATGTACTTGGTCTCGTTGGGACTGGAGAGGTCGCCCGCAGGCTTCTCTGCCGTGATGAGAACAGAGTAGCGCGGCGACTTGATATTCTGGGAAGACACTTTGCAAGTCATCTCAAATGTATTTCCGGCAGCGAAGAAAGGCTTGGGCTGCCTCGCCTTCACCACGAGCACGGAATCTGGAATGAGGGAGCAGAAACAGGTGATGCCCGGTGGGATCAGTTCAAATGGATATGTATCTGAAAGAACGATGTCAAGGAAATAGGAATTTATTTGCAAACTGCCACACAACGGCACTTCAGACAATGTGGAAACCCAGAAAATCACGTGATGCTGGGGGAAGGGGAGCGGCCTGAAGTGACTTATCGGGTGTGAGGGAAGCAGAATTGGTGGGTGGAAATTTAGTTTTGAGGTTTTTCAAGTCCTTAAAAGAGTAAGAGTTTGGGTCGCCATTGGTACCCGCCCCCCATCCCCTAAGGATGTGAGGGAGAGCTTACTCTCAGGGAAGGGGGCAAGACAGGCTCTAGGAGACACCACGTGCCTCTCCTCTCCTGAGATCCCGCTGGGTGCAGGGGAGGAACCTCAGCCTAACCAGCCTCGTGGAAGGGCAGGGAAGGGAGAAACGTGTGCTCTCCGTTCAATCCCGCGACGGTAACATCACAGAGCAGATACCGTAATTAATGAAGTGATGGACACACCCACCTGCAGATCTAGTCATTTCCACAGAGACACTGCTGAACACTCTGAGCATGCATCCATGTCTACACTAACTTTAGGTGTTAAGTGTGTTACGCCCCATATCTCTGTCCAAAAAAAATAATAATTTTTTTTAAAAAATCTCTAAGCATATACACATCAGAAATCACCGATGTTAGAACAGCTCAGTGTCAGGCACTTTGGTGCTGAAAATATTTGCTGAGTGAATGAATAAATGAATTAAACACAGTCTCTTCATCCTTTAAGGAAATAAGATGAGATATTTATGTTGGGGTTTTTTTAGGAATAACTGTTCCACCAAACCTGTGAGTAGAACATGTATGTTACGGTGTCTCTCCAGAATCACCAGTTCTTTCTCTTTTCTTTCTTTCTCTTTTTTTAAAATGTATTTGTACCGATTCAGTGAGGAAGGGAGAGATAGAAACTCCAATGATGAGAGAGAATCTATAATTAGGCAATTTTATTGATAGATTTGTTCTTACCATAGATCTTAGCAACCCCAGCATACAATTTTTGTTCTTTCCTTATTAATTCAGGAACTTCCGCCTTTTCATTGAAACAAAGCACTTTATGGCTTCTCTTTGGCACATCCAAATTGCCGGCATCGCTACTCTTGCACGTTGGGACCATTATTACGTAAAATAAGGGTGACTTGAACACTTGACTGCAACACCACAACGGTCGACCTGATCACCAAGAGGCTACTAAGTGACTGTCGGGCGAGGAGTGTGTACACAGCAGAGATACTGGACAGAGGGATGACTCACATCCCAGGAGGGACAGAGAGAGATGGTGTGGGATTTCGCCACGCTACTCAGCATGATGTGGAACTTAAATTTTATTAATTGCTAATTTTTGGAAGTTTCTTTTTAATATTTTTGGACTGCCCAGGGGCAAGGAAAGAATGAGAATAACAGTTGGGCAAGAGGTGTGGGGAACAAAAAGATAGAAGGGATGGGAGGTCAAGATTAATTTAAGTTAAAAAAACACACTAAAACAGGAGATCTAACAGCATGTTTACAAGCCAACGGGAAAGGTCCAAAAAGAGAGAGAGAGATTGAAGATACAGGAGGGAAGCCACGTGCCTGAGTGGTGAGAGGTCGCCTAACTGTGAGCTCAGCGCTGGGGAGGGTGTGACAATTCTCCCGATTGTTTCCATTTGTTTAGGGCCTAGAAAGCAGGACCGGGAGCTGAGAGGGAGCTGGGGGAGGAGTTTTTCAGATAAAGTGATATGCAGTCATCATTTTAAAGAGCAGGGAAGTAAACAGATTAAGGAAACGTAGATGATGCCCAGGGAGTGCTGAGAGCCCACTTGACACGAATGATCGCAGATCTAATCTAAAAGGAGCCCAGTCAACATCTTTAAATGTTTTTCTCCAACCACATTGAGCTCTGCAGATGCAGAGAGGGAGGCGGCAGAGGGCTGGTTCTGAACCAGGGTGTAGCTGAGCCAGAGAACAGTGCAAACGGGGAGCTAAGGGTGTGCAGGGAGGAACTGTGACTGACTGGGAACCTGGCCTAAGTAACAGCAGGGTGACTCCTAACTTATCGGACCTCCCACCCCGGACATGTCCAAGAATGAAGAGGGTGCTATTAAAAATGACACAGGACCCTGGCCAAGAGGCTCAGTTGTTTGGAGCATCGTTCCGGACAACAAAGGGTTGCAGGTTCGTTTCCCGGTCAGTGTGTGTTCAGGAGGCAACCGATCGATATTTCTCGCTCTCTCTCTAAAATCAATAAACATATCATAGGGTAAGGATTAACAACAACAAAAGACTCAGGATAACAGGTATAGATTGGACTACCCTGGGCAAATGGTCACCCTCCGTAAGACAGAAGTGAGGACAATGGGAGTGAAGGACAGTGCAGGGCAGTAGGATTAATGGACTGTCTGTCTATCAGGTACACCTGGTAGGTTGAAGAGTTGATGTTGGAGTCTAGAGAGAGTGATCTAGAAAGGCAGTGGTGTGCATAGAGAATAGGACGTTTGAAATTGGGAGCATGCAGGTCTTTCAGTTATCAGAAGTGAGGTGGTCTAGTTCGGGTGTGAGCAGGGGCATGAATAACAACAGGACAGAGGACGTGATGACCAGAGAGAAGGACAAGGGGCCGAGAATGAAAAGCTTATCTACACTGTGGCGCCTCAAGGTGCCTGCACCCAGTGGGAACTCGTGGGTGCGGACACTCCCAAAGGCCCATGTGAAGTCTGGCTCACTAGTAAGACCCGCCCCGTAGAGCAACAGTGTCAAAGGCTGACCATGCACACCGGGAGTGCCTCCAAGATGAGTCCCTGCCACCGACCATGCCCAGCGCTCTCAGAGGACTTACCCTTGCCCAGCCTCACCACCCGACAGGGCTGGGGGCTGCAGAGAGAAGCAGCAGTCATTTGAGCATGCGTTTCCTGGAGTCCTCGTATAAATGGAAACCTGCAGGGTGACTGTGCATCTGAGAACATACAGTCGGATGACTTAAGCCAAAATGAAATAAGAACAGAGAACAAGGACAAAGCGCCTACCTTCTGAGGCCCAAAATATGTGGACAGGTTTAGAGAAGACATCCCTGCTCTTCACCCAGCTGCTGTTCCGCTGTCTGGTCCAGGCGGACACCACGCAGTAGTAATTGCCCCTGTCTTCCTCTGTAGTCCTTTGGATTCGGAAACTGAACGTGTCCGCACGCTCCTTAGAGAAAATAAAGTCTCCGTCCTGGGCCCGCTGCTTGCTCCTCTCTCCGTACTTGAGCGTCCAGTCCCCGTCCATGGCTGCGAGGAGCTCGCTGGTCACCACGTCGTCGTTGCGCCGGTTCATCCTGTAGTACCAGGACACCGTGACACGGACGCTCCCCTCCATGCTCCTCTTGTCCACCACCCGACACTCCAGCTCCGTGAGGTCGTCGGAGAATTCGGGGACCTTGGAGGCGTTCAGGTACACCTGATAGTCTGGCTCTGAACCAAAGAGGGAGGAACAGGGCTGAAAAATTAGGCGGCAACATCCCAAGACGTAGCAAAAGGCACGAGACGAGTACTCCTCTCGTCCTGACAATTAAATGCTTATCCTGCCAACGACAAAGACAGACATGAAAGTCCTTGCATTGGACGGGAAGGAGCCTAGAAGAGCTGTTATTGCAAAACTTGTACAACTCTGTCCCCAGGAACACTTCCAAAGCCAGAAGCCCAATGTCCCCATCAGAACCTCGATCTTTCCATAGGGGTGGGGTCTGCGGTCAGTCTCCCCAGGAGCCTGGACTCTTTGGAGAAGGATCTAAGAAGCCTGGTGTCCACACTCTGCCAAGATTTCCCCTGGAATGCGAAGCAGTGCCCACAGACCCCACTGGAGCTGCACCGGAAAACCCTATCCCAGAGGACATTCTAGCACTTGAGGCCAACCCACCCCATCGAGGCGCGGCTCCTGCCATCCTTGGCTGGGCCCCAAATGCAAGGCCCTCAGGTCACCACCCCCCTGTGGTCTCACCCTCACTTTACTGGTCCCTGGACTTTCTCCACTGAATCTGTTCCACGGTCAGTAAACACACCATCCTCAAACTCCCAACTGACATTCTTCTCACGGCCACGTGGAACTCGCCCGTATAAAGGTCAACCTTGAAGAGCCTGGCTCACTGAGGCCCCACTTCCCTGCCAGGCACCGATCTGACAGGGAATAGGGGGAAAGCCAGCCTTCTCCTAGCGTCCCCATGGCCATTGTCACGGTCCTGTTATTTTATAAAAACCTCTCCTTCTGAGGTTCATGACATTAATCCATTTCTGCAACTTCACGTCGACCCCGAGCCCCTCCTCCACACTTGCCAAGGAAGGGATATTAGAACCCCCTTGCCGCCTCCTTCCCTCTTCCCCCACCCTCTGCATGTCACCCCCATTATCTAGAGCCCCCAGTCACCACAGTCTCACACCTCTGTGGCGGTCTGTTTGCAGTGGCTTCTCCTGACTGCCCTGCAACCCTCCACTCATTCCTCAGCGTCACCTCCCCTGCACCCCCTTCTTGGCGTCCCCAGAGTATGACACTCTCTCTCTATGCTCCCATAAGACGGGCACGTGACCCTGGGTAGCAGGAACCCCACCCTGTTATACTCCTTGCTTCGGTCTCATCCCCAAGCTCCAAACACACAGCCTCGTATGCAGTCGGCACTCAGTAAATGTTTGCTGCTTTCATGGTAAGGCGTTTAGAAAAGGCTACATTTTTCTTTCATAGCACTTTGCCTTCTGGGAGGGAAAATCACTCTACCCAAACAGAAGTTTCGTTTGCCAGCACGACCTTTATTCACCTCGGTCTGACAGTGTCGTTTTCTTTCACGTTGTTTTTATTTATGACTCATTCAGATTATAAACTGCTGAGGTCGAGGAACTGTTCTTTTTTGATTTACGCTTCTAATGAAATGTGTAACATCAAGGCTTCCCCAAGAACGATTCACTGGGCCAGGCAATGGGAAGAACTCAAAATCCTAATTCCATCTCCACAAGCACTTAGTTGCACGTGAGGTTGGACCCTGTGCCGTTGCCAGTTAAACCAACGTGGCCCTGCAGGCTCCTGGGAGCACGCCCTGCCACGAGGTGGCTTCTGGGATGTCATCCTGCCCCCTCACCTTTCAGACAAGTCGCACGGCTGGGGGTTCCTGCCTCCCGGGCAGCGGGGACTGACACACCACACGGCCTCCCTAGCGGCAAGGGACTGCGGAACAAATACCGCTGAAATGTATTTGTACCGTCATGTGCATAAGCCGAGGTATTCCCAAGTTACCCCACATCCAGGGTTTCAGACCCTCTCCTCCTGGCAGCTTCTGGCACAGCGGCTGGAGTGCAGACAAGGATAACAGCTCAGTTCACGTGGACAGGACAGACAGAACTGGCTGTGCACAGGGCCAGATGCACTCTTAGCTCCGGTCCGGACCGACCTGGACCGTGCCAATATGGAGAGGCCTCAGGAAGCTCTTTACTGAACGGGTGGTCTCCTCAAGAGGAGGACCCTAATGCAAAGACAAACAAAAGCAAGTGAACTTACAAAGGGAAGGTCCTAGTGACTTACAGTAGCGGTCGCCAACCTTTCGGACCTCATGGACCACCAGTGGTCTGCAGACCACCGGTTGGCGACTGCTGCTTTAAAGGATGTTCCAAGGTCACCTGAACTATATACCAGCCTTGTAGGTCGACGAGACTTGTACTCCTAGAGAAGCTATGACTCCACCATGTCAGAACAGTAGTCAGAGATGGGCTCTTATTTCTCTCGTTTGGTGCATGGACAGAAGTGTCCTGTGTTGCTCTGTGGGCAGAGACTGCGCCTATTCCCCATGGCCCATTGTGCACGGTCAATAAACATACCATCCTCAAACATACCATCCTTCTAACAGAGAATTCTTCCTTTGCGCTGACCTAGCCTGTCACTCCCCCACTTCTTATTCAACAAACGTTCACAGACACCCTACCACCCACCAGGCTCCCTGCTCTCTAAGGACTGTACCTGAACACGACCTTGAACTCTGGTTATGTCTTATGAACCTTCCTCACAGGGCCAGGCACTACCTACCTATTCAAACATATGTGCTACCCACGCAGTGCCTTGTTCATAAAAGATATTGCCACACTTGCTGAATTGGACTGCATTTCATATTTTGCATAAAAATGCTCGTTTTGGGCAGAAGCATTCCACCACTGATTACCGCGGCATTCTGCTTGATCTCATCAAGAAATCTGCTAAGAATGCCATGGTGGTTATGTTTAAAAATGCGTATCAGTTAAAGATGCCTACTGAAGTATTTAATGGTAAAATGACACGCTGTCTGGCATGTGCTTTAAATTCTTCCTGAAGAAAAAAAGAAGTGAGTGTGTCTGTGTGTGTGTCTGGGGGAGGGAAGAGAGATGAAATGAGATTGGCAAAATATTGATCATCACTGAAGCTGGTGGTTCCTTCTACGTCTGTGTACATTTCTCAGCCAATTCTATTCCAATAGCACCACATGTGAGCAGGCCCTCTCTCAGCACACAGAGGCCGAGGAGTGGCATCACCAACATTCCAACAAGCAAGGGTCTGCTCCCTAATCCGGTGCCCGGGATGGTGTCTGCTCATAAAGCACACCGCCTCCTGGAGCCATGGCCTCCATCACTAGGAGACCCCCTCAAATCAAAGACCACGGTCTTTGCATATGGGTCATGAAACTCCTTAGTTACAACTTTCAAAACAATGAGCTCTCAGAATCATTGGCCGAGTTATCAAAGCAGATATTTTGTGCCTACTGTATGCAGGAGCGTAGCTGCAGGTTTTCGCAGATTACCTGCGTTCACTCTCACAATCCGATAAGGAAGGTATCATTATCCCCTGTGACGATGGCAATGACAACGACACGCATTTATCGAGGGCTTCCTACAGGCCAGGCTCCCACCATGCCATGCGCTTTCCCCACACTCTCGCTTACTCTTCACAACGACCTTATGAGACAGACACTATTTTCAGGTACATTTCCTAAATGGAAAACAAAAAACACACTCCAAATACAGGGTACAGATGATGGGCTGAAGAATTGTGCACCTGAAATTGTATATCGCCCAATAAATTCAATAAAAAGAAAAACAAAACAAAAAATACCAAAGCCCAGAGGAGTTAAGTTCGAAGAGTCCAGCCTTGCACAGTATGTGTGAGCAGAATTCCAGGCTGGGCTTTGGCTCCATGGTCTTCCCACTAGGACCAAATTACACAACCTTATTACTCGTCCCAGTTATCAACACTTTCCCAGAGCCTGCTGCGTCCCAGAAGATGTGAGTGATGATAACAGCCCAGGCACTAATCCGGACCGTGGCCCACAGGGCCATGTTCTAATACCCCTTTGAAGCACAGTGAACTTGGCACAGCTAATCAGAGGAACAGGCTGCCTGCCTGAGTTAGAGGACATGGGAGTGTCCTCTCTGTTGATGGGGTTTCATTATCTTGCATCGGGCAGGTATCTCAGAGGCAGCTGAGCAAGTTGACTAATTGCTAAAGAGTTGCCACTATCACATTTGTGTAGAACAAAATTCTCCAACATTTACACCGAGGCTACAAATAAGGGGCTGTTGTTTTGAGGGGACATCTGACCCCTCCGTAGTAGAACCATTATTTTGAGGCTGTATTTAGATTTAGCCATGTCAGAGCCATAAAGGTAATATCGTTTGAATGGTTCAGCTATGTCCCCCACACAACGTAACACTCATGTGGTTTTGCTCCGTTAGTCTTCACTCGACTCCTCCCAGAGAAGAGTGAGTTACCAGATTTGGGGGCGGGGACAGGAAAGGGACTGGGTGTGGTCAGCTCAACCCCCTCTTCTTGGGAGGGGTGCTTCCAGGACACACACACTCCTGGTTCCTCCATGCCCTAAGACAGACTCCTATGTCTTACTTGGTTAAGACCTTGGTGGGGAAGAGTATGTTACACATTGACCACCCTGCCCCCCCCCCCCGCCCCAACCCCAACACCAGTAAGTCATCACCACCAGCATGAACATGTACTGAGCACTTAAGTACCAGGCACTATGCTAAACACTTTTTAAATGCAGCGAAGGCAACCCAGAAAACCAAAGCTTAGAAACCGTAAGCGACACACCCAAGATGACACACCCAGAGGGTCTCAGAGCAAGATTCCCACACTTACCTACGGGCTCTTCTGCCTTCAGAGATAACCCTGGTCAGGCAGCTAATCACGGCTGCCTATAACAGTCTGCAGGTCTGACTCCTATTGCCTGTAGATGGCACAGAACGCTGAAGTCTCTGCCACGTGCTTAGCAGATTAACAGCTCCTTTTAAAGAAAAATAATTACCTTCCTCGCTGGCGCACTGCTGGAAGAGGGGACGGCCCTCTCGTGGGGAAGGATGCAAATCAGGTTCCTACCCCCGAGCAGCAGAACTCAACTCTGCCTCCGCTGCTCTCCGATCGATCGGGAAGCCCGTGGAAACCTCTCCAATTAACACCACAGAAGCTGGTACTTGGGGCAGGGAGCTCAACCACCAACTCATTAGCGCCCAACTCGTGCCAAAGGTTCATTTCCGACATCTCATAGCAGAGAGAGATGGCTTAAGATGCAGATTAACTCGCGATTCCTCCAGACCCTCTCTAGTTGTAGCTATACACCAAACCGCATGGACACAAAGCAACATTTGTCCTCCAGAGTAACTCGGCTTCTTACAGAAACTCCTTCACACACTTAAGATTTAGGCCCTCAGCTCTTACAGAGAGTGGATGGAAGAAACATCCATTTAAACAATCACTCGGGGCCTTTTGTGAAAGAACAGTGGAAAGCCCTGTCCTTTATGTTATCCAATGCCCCTCAAATAACAAAGCACATGACAGATTCAGTGCCAAGAAAAAGTTTGTCTCCCTGCGTTTGTTTTCCTTTATCCGAGGAGGGCTGCCTAATCACATTTCTTTGTGCCTCAACTCTTCAAAACTTCAGAGGCAGGTTCAGTGTTCAAATGCAGTAACTTATTCGTCCAACTACCTTGAGCTATCTACCCTTTGATTTTTTTAAACCTCCTCTGATCTTGATTTTATTTTTATGTCTCCTGCTTTAAATTGTGATTCATTTTGCAAGCCAACTTGAATCTTTTTTTTCCCCTTCAAAAGTAGGACACAAACCCTAAGTAAAAGAGGCCTTTTCTTACCCTCTTGAAAAAAACAAACATCGAGGTCCTCCCAGCTGCTACAAACGCTCTTGGACTTGCCAGACCCATTCATGTCACTGCCCTGATCTCTGTCTGGTTAACACAATAGAACGAGAGAAAGTTCCAATCAGCTTCAGCCCCTCATCTGCTCAGAGCACCAAGCCCAAACAGAGAAGGACAAGAATGGCCCAGCTTTTAGGACTTTTATGCTCTAGACTTTCGGGAGGGGAGCTGGTTCCCAAAACCAAAAAATGTTCCCACATAAGAGAATGAGACCCGAGACAGACTCCAGTTCACATGACAATACTTGGGGACAGACTTGACCCAGGCCGTACTTCTAAGCCATCCTAAGCATTTCTTTGGAAGTAAAACGAAACAGGCATTAACTACTGTGATAGATTCTGTTTTCCAAAGATGACGGCAGCAATATTCACCAGCCACATGCCCTTTTCAATGTGACCTTGCTACTCCCCATGAAGAGATGGGGTCTCTTTCTCTACCCCCTTGAACTTGAGCAGATTCGGTGATAGCTTTGACCACCAGGAAACAGTGCAAGTGACAAGGTCAGTCCCGAGAATAGCTTTTTTAAAATATATTTTTTATTGATTTCAGAGGAGGAGGAGGAAAGAAACATCAATGATGAGAGAGAATCACTGATTGGCTGCCTCCTACATACCCGCTACTGGGGATCAAGCCTGCAACCCAGGTATGTGCCCTGACCAGGAATCGAACCATGACCTCTTGGTTCATAGGTCGACGCTCAACCACTGAGCCACGCCGGCCGGCCCGGAGATAGCTTTTTAACTGGCTGGGCACTTCCACTTCCTGCCTCTTGGAAGCCAGCCACCACGTAAGGAGTGTGACTGCCCTGAGAAGACTGTGCTGTGAGAAGCCCAAGCCACGTGAAATGGACTTGGAGGATGAGATGTCACGTGGGGACAGAGAGAGGTCTGGGAGCACAGGACATGTGCATGAGAAAGCCATCTGGAAGGGAATCCCCGTCCCAGCCGTCCCAGCTGTCGCCATGTGCCTCAGAGACGAATCCCCTGAGCCCTTCCTAATGCCTGACCCTCAAAACCGTAAGCAAAATAAAACCCCATGGTTTTCAGAGGCGGGTAGGGCAGCACCTCACTCACAGGTTGTGGCGGGGATTAACGAGTTAGTGCATGTAAAGCCCTTAGCCCGGTGCCTGGCGGGCAGTAAGTGTTCAATAAATGATGATGATCATTTTTAATATGTCAAGTAGCAAATTGAGAGTTCTGTGTAACACCTGCAGAGCGAACCAACTGTCTCAAGAACTCTTTTGTGACAACATGCCATAGTCATACCATAAGATGAGCCATGCCAACAGAGGACTTGGCAGGTCATGCCTTCCTGTCTTTTGGGGGCACCTCTCAGTGACCTCTACAGGCCCCAAGCTGCACATGGTATGGTATCCACATACATACACATGCATGTTGTGTATCTAGAGAGAATCACATGTCAGGCCGGGTCCATGGGTTTCTGGGCAGCTATTCAACTGGGAGGTTCTGGAGAAAATCGGCTGCTGTACTCGAGCCGGACGTGCCTCCTGACAAGTGTCCAAGCAGCTGTGATGGTGTGAGTCACAGGCACAGGGAAGGGGAGACTCAGGAGGGAGAAAGGAGCAGGATGCCATCGGCTTATGCCATCCGCCATCCACTCCCAGTAGGCTTACCGGGTGCACATAGCTCTGAAAACTCTGAATAGAACATCACTGCTTTCTTTGCACATACTTCACCACTGCCCATGTGTCCGGCACTGGTTTATCTAGCCAGCCAGCCAGCCAGCCAGCCAGCGCTCACAGAGTGCCCGTTACGTCCATGGCGCTGCACAAGGTGTGGGGTCCGTGCACCTCGGTGCCAGGCAGGGAAAAGCACACAGGTGACTTCGCAACAATGGTGCTGGCACTTTGCAGAAAAACAACTGGATCCTTAGGATGATCACTGAACCGTTTCCCACAATTCAGTCTCTTTATTTCTTCTCACTTTGGACAACAGACCCCAACAAATCCCTTCCAGTCAAAAGAGCCTGCTCCCTCCCAGAGCCCCCCTCCAGTGCCGGCACCCCCAGGTATGCCTGGATCAATGCGGGAGGACTTCAAAGGGGCCCTCAGGTTGGGGAGCAGGCAGCACTTTCTAAAAAAAAAAAACCCGCTGGGGCTGTGATTCTGAGTCAGAGGGGGAGGGGGAGAGGGAGGAGCAGAGGGGGCCCCGGGATCTGACAGCACCACACAATGCTCCGAGGATCAGCTCCAGAGATGAAAAACCTTCTCTGGGCTGACAACATCTGTTTTATTTTGAAGGTTGCTAAGGAGAGTTCTAGCCGGGCCAACATTGTTCCAGTTCAGAACTTCAGAGCGAGTCTCCTGCGTGGGGTTCAGGAGGCAGGGATAAAAGCTTGCCAGATCAACCCCGCTCCTTTCGCTTTCAGATATCAAAGCATCGCTTTGCTACCAGGGATGACGAACGCCCTGCCTAGTCTCGCTCCGAACTGGATGTACCTTCTGCTTACTCTCATTACTCATCCTCTCCCTGCCCCCTCGGTCCCCACTTGCCAACTCCCCATCTTTGCCAAATAAAAGGCTTATTAGGAAGACACAGACCCACGAACCCATAAGAAGATTTCAAGGCAAAGGAAGAGCCAAGTATGAGCTGGGGGTCACGGACGGCAGGAGGGTGTTTAGCATCAGACAAAGGAGGAAGTGACTTCCTAGCCTTTGAAGAGGTTTCACTACTAATAATCAGAGCCATGCCAAAGGCCGCCAGCGGGGCTCTGAGCGGGCGTGGGACGCAGAGCTGGAGCACGGGACAGGGAAGGGTCTGACTGCAGGCCTGCTTCCATCCCTGTGATGATGGAGGTGGACAGCGAGGCACGCTCCCCTCGACCCCATCCTGCCTAGGTTTACCTGTAATTACTTACAAGACCATAACAGAAACCAGGAAAAGTGGGTCTTGCCAGGCGGCATTTAGGACAGTAAGAGGTGGGGAAGGCTAAGTGGTGAAAAAGAAAGGACAAGACCAAGATCTTCACATATATGACAAGTTGGTATACACGCGTGGCAAGGGGATCAACAGGTGACGGCGCATTGTGCCTGGGTGAGAGCCCACCAGGAGAGCTGGGGCAGCAGGAGGGCCCTTCTGTGTAACGGGTATATCTGCAAAGAAATCATTTGGTGATTCTAGGGCATTCAGTGAAAAAACACGTGTCCCATTAGCCGCAGAATTCTCTCTCTCTGCACGGGGCTTGGCCAGGGAGCACCTAGGAGCCGGGGAAGGACAGGAAGCATGACGGCGGTCCCCCTGCACAACGGTCCGTTTCAAAGGGCCATTGAGCAGGGCTGGACCCTGCAAATCTCGACAAAAGGAAACTCTATCCTCTCAACTGAGGCCACATTATCTAAACATTGCCCTTGCCTGCCAGCTTCTATTTCAGCCAGTTTTGCTTTCACCCCCAGCTTGGGACCTATCCAAGCCGCTCATCCTGGTACGGAGAACGCCAAACTAGCATGAAACGCACAGAGCTCCAGCTCCTGATACCCCCGAGGAGGGACGACCCCAGGGAGGGTAGGAGCCACCCTCCAAACCACTCACCGAGCCAGGTCACATCCACCCCCACTGGGGCGGACGTGGCTTCTGCCACCTTGTGCCAGCTTCTGTTATGCCCCGGTACCCAGAGCGCCACGTGGCAGGAATAGTAGCCGGAGTTCTCTTTGCTAACATCTCGAACCAATAAATGGTAGGAGCGAGCATCCATGTGACTCAACGCGACGTGAGGAGAGCTGTGCACCAGGGAATCGCGGTCCAGCCGTGCCAACACGTGGGGGCCCGGCACAGTGCGGTCAGGCGTCCTGCTGAAGTACCACGTCACCTCGGGGCGGACGTCATCCGCTCGGTCGGTTGTGATGTTGCAGCTCAGGTCCAGCTCCTTGCCTTCAGCCACAGACACGTTCCTGCCCACGGCGGCTCGCAGAACTCGAAAATGAAAAACAAGTACATCTTGATAATCTGGATGATGTTTGTCCCTTTCACCTCCCCCGTGCCCTCTTTTAGATCATTTCCTTTTAGGTTCTTATTTATGGCGTTAAAGTTAGAAGGCCTTGTACAGCTGTAAATGCTGGAGAAATTTTTCCTAAATAAACTCATCAAGCACATCACATTTCCTTTTAATTCATAAACATTTATATACATTTACTATATGCCAGATACTGTTCTGAGTGCTTCATAAATATTAATCTTCAAAGCAACCCTATGAGGTAGGCACTATTATTATCTCCGTTTTACTGCTAAGGAAACTGAAGCACAGAGAAGGTAAGGAACTTGCCCAAGTTCACACAGCTAATAGGTGGCAGAGTTGAAATTCAAATCCAGGCTGCCTGCCTCCAGGAACTCTGCTTTTAACTGATACACTACTGTGTGAAAAGAAGTCTGCTGAGCATCACAAAACTAAAATTAAACTTTCTCCATGTGTATGGTAAGACCTGGGCGTTTTATAGAGAAATGACGGTTCTGTTCGGATTGGTACATATGATTCACTGGGGACTGGGGGCTAGAGGGTAGGAGCGAGGGTGAAACCATCTTTTGGGTGAAAGAGGGGAAAATCCTAAACAGAAGGACTGGGAAAGTGAAACCAGACCGTACGCCGGATGAGTCACGTCTTCAAAATGCAACGTACGCAGCGCGTCATTTACTCCATGAGACATACCTTCTTGAAGTTAAGCGTAAAGCATATATTTTCAAACTAAAACAATGATTTTGGGGTTACCCGAGCCGCCGCCCTCTCTCATCGGCCTGGACGATGAAAAGTGGCCTATATTTAGGAGGAGCGCTGCCGGGCTTGGAGCCACGGTCTGGAGGCAGCTCTGGTTTCAGCATTCCCCTGTCACAGCTTTTTACATGGAAACATTTTACTGTATTTAGGGGGCTTTTGAAAAGAAGTCGAACATCTGTAATCAGAGTAGAAAAACATTCAACTCGTGGTAACGCTGTGGGAACAGCTGCTTTAGAGGATACACAGCCAACAGCCCCCGGGGGATGGGGGCCGG